AATTGACACTGGGGACATAGATAGAGAACCCCCCCCCCTCCCCCCAAGTATCTAAATGAAACTCACATCTGTCTTGTTTTTCTGTTTTTCGTATTCTTTCAGTTTTCTGGCAATCTCCTTCTTCTGATGCAAGATGTTTTTCAGGACGGCCTCCTTGTCATAAAGATGGCCGTCTTCTCTATGGAAAGTAGACAATCATTACATGAACAGACAGCATCCTTTCAGGCACGAGACAAAATTTTCCAACAGGTAAAAGACAAAAACTTCTCCTCCCACCCTGACCTAAACAAAACCCAATATTGCACAAGGAATGAGGGCTTTGTTTAGCAACAAAATGGCATTTGGTCCAGATGTATGAGCGCAAGGTCAAAGTCTATTAGCTTGAGGGCACTGGACCCACAACAACAAAAAAAGTTACAAAGAAAGTCAGCTTAGATTAATCTCTCTAATTTTCCCCACTAATTCAATTCTCAACAAAAGAAAAATTATTATAGAGCCAGCAATGCCTCCAAACACCTTCATTACATAAGACATTACAAAGTGTTAATAAATGACAACAGATAAACAGTGAATAGGTGCAAACCCCCCCCCCCCTCTTACACAGTCCAACAACTTCCACAGAGATGAAGCTAAAGCGTGTATTCTCATCGTTCTAGACAAAGATGAATCAGCTTTTTGACATCAGTCAAAGAAATCTAGCAGCTCTACAATGGGCTTCTAAAACTCTGAAAGCCAGTTTTACCACTCTTTAATTATAAAAAGCATGACAATTAATTCACTTTAGTAGTAAAGGAAAACTACATAAAAATAAAAAGAAACGAAAAACCTACGTGATAACTGGATCTTTGCAAGGCTGGAGGGTCAGACAGCAGCAGTCAAATTCCTGAAACAATCATATCATGATGCCAATGTATAATTGCTTTATCAATAAAGGCATGGTAATGGCAACCAACTGGAAAAAGAAAATGAGGAAGACCAACTGGACGCTATAGAGGCACAATAAGGAATGAGGCAAACACCCAGGGCCTGGATTTGCCCAAATTGGAGGACCTGACGTGGCCATGGACAGGCAAGCATGGCGTCAACTGCTCTCCGCCTTATGAATGTAGGCTACCTGACAATATAGGGAGAGAGTAAGTAAGTGATCGTAAGAACTTCTTATCATGCACTCTGAGAGATAAAGCCAAAACAAAAATTTTCTACAAATGGCTGACATTCCCTGTTCAGAATGTGGAGATTGCAAAAAGAGCAACACTATTTGTCTAAAGCATTTCAGTTCCCAACCTTCAACGAGCCATATATAGTATACACTAAAATAATATTACAAACAACAGGACAAACCTTTATTGCATCTTTCCCAAAGCGGACACTCTTGCTCCCATATCCAGAAGCCTTTGTATCTTTCTGTCTCTCATGGTAAGTGTACACAGTCCCTGCAGTGCAGTTTCTTCCATGACGGGTCATCTTCAACCAATACAAGTATTGTGCACTCTAGAACAGAAATGTATCTTCAATAAACTCAAAAGACAATACAAAATTTCATCCATGCTTTATAAGAACTAAGAACACGAAATATATTAGAATTTAGAAATACTGATTTCTCAGTATTGTGGGCATCATAGGGATCCGTTCAGCATTATCAAACAGTCAAACCACATTATAATGCTGCCTATCTAGGGATGAACGTGAAGCGGTGGCATTGCCGCTGCGGGGCTGGTGGGGTATTTCGCTTTCATAAGAGTTTTACAGCACTTGAAACAATAGACCACCTATATTCTTACCCCTGGCGAGAATAGCTCTCGACTCGTTATTCTCACCTCCACACCAGTGTGGGCATGAGGCGAAGACTCCCCCCCACCCCCCGACCTCTTGCAGGCCAATAAAATCACCTAGGCCGCATGTGGTTGGGAAATGTTAATGACTCATGAGGGCTTGGCGCTTGTTTCCTCACAATGGGGCCAACTCCCGATTACCGATTCCGATAGTCTTAATAAAAAATCAAAAAGCCTTCCTAAAATTAGGCTATATTGTGAGGACCTGTCCTGTAGGTATTGGATGCGTTTTGCTCTTGACATTTCGTCCTTGTGAGATAAAATAAGGTCATATAAGTGCCGGAGACTACGTGTTTTTAGTTTTAGTAAGTGTTTTACTGCAGTTGCAACACAATAAGGTCATATGAGTGCCGAAGATTAGCGGACCACTAGGCACCAGAAAGCGAAAATAGATCGAGCTTCGGTACCACGCCGGCATACACTTACTCTTGCCGCCAAAGCGCCCAGTTCTTACCTAAAACTATCTTTTGTTTTCGAAAGAGTTAGCACTTGCAATACAATAACTAATAAGTTCATACAAAAGTGCCGAAGATTAGAGGTGTTAGTGTTACAAGAGAGTACTAACAAACACAAAAAGAAGGAAGAGAAAGGTAAGGATGATAGATGTTGAATAGGAGAGAAGGGAAGAAGCTAGCAGTACTTAATGATGGCTAGACTGGTTGGCTAGCCGTACTTATTCTTAATATGATGGCTAGACTGACCATTTAAAAAAAAAAAAAAGGCCTACTGAATTGTAAATATATATAAATTTTTAGTTTGCAGTACTTCAAGTATTTGTATTTGAGACGAAACCAGGGGCCTTAATGACAGTGCATGTGTTGGGCGCGATCTGTCGATTTGCACGATCCATCGGCCGCGCAGCGCATTTGGTTGATCGAGGAAATCCGCGACAATCCATTGATTGCTGCGTATTCTGTTGATCAGCGGATCGCCCAGCGTTTTTTGTCGATCCGTTTGGTTGCGCATTCTATAGATCTTACCCCTGAGTTTTGTTATGTTTTAATGTCGTCCAGAGTGTAATTTAGTTTCACTCTCCAAAGTCAAACCGAAACTGAAAGGAAGTAACTGGAAGTCAGGGTTACAATAACGAACTAATCGAAGTGACAATTCGAGTCCGAATAGACAAAAATTATATTCGGACTCTGATTTGAGTCCATATGATGTCCGTTCCGACTTCCGACTCTTGTTTCTAAATATTTCCAGCATGTATTAACATTTTTTTCAGTTATAATGATAACATTTGAGACGTGAGCTTTAATATCCAGTTACTAGATCTATCTAAACTGGCCCTCCCTGCGTCGATCGTCATGTTTATGAACAAAACTAAGTTGAGCTGACCTTGCCTGGGGCAAAGTTAATTGTTTCGACCAATGAGACTGCGCGTAGCGATCACACTCTCGGCTTATGGGGGAAGAGGTGTTGGGAAGGGGCCATGGCTGTCGGTTTTTTGCGATGTGATTTTAAAAAAAAATTACAGAAAAACTCAACACTCAACAAAATCAAATTAAACATGCGGAAAGACAAATGGTGGTGGAAGTAATGATGATGCTGTATAGTGGTGGTGGAAGTAATGATGATCTTGTAGTGGTGGTGAAAGTAATGATGATGCTGTTGTGGTGGTGGAAAGACCCTGAGTTGTCGGTTATCGTGTACTTAGACACTGCCATTGGGTAGATCTAATGAGAGTGCAATCAGGGTTAGACCTATACTTATAGGTCGGTGAGTATCACTCCGAACACTTATTCAATATGGAGAGGTTGGTTGTGCTCGAGGTGCTCTTGTTCAAGGAAACAATTAAGAAAATAATACTTGTATAATAAATGTTTAATCAACACACAACAATTTATCACAAGCCATTAAATCTTGACAGTATTTGGAATGCCACGAAAAGTACGCAGCCAATCACATCCGTCCAAATACTGAGTGCAGGTGCTCGATTTAAGGCTGTGTCAATTTATCCGCCTCACTCAACCGTCACCACTTAAAGTTCATCACACAACTCTTCTTGGACGCTCAAACTCAAAGACTGACGTTCTCAGTAAACCAATATTCTTTTTAAAAAATGCAAGTGGCTATTCTCCGGCGTCGCGCCGGTCAATAGATGGGAAGCTATTCTCCGGCGTCATAACTAGGTCTAGTAAGTCTACCTTTCATTATATTTTATCTAAGGTAATTGTCTAACATAACCTTATTTTAAAATAATGATTCTGTTTATTTAAATGAACAAAATAGATTTTGTTTCTAAAATCCTGTCTAGTCATATAGACAATATAGTATAGCTTGCTGTTTAACTTATTTCTTGTTGTTGCAATCTTCGATCAATTTAACTGACATGTCGTGACTTCAGTGCTTTCTTGTTGTATCTCGATTTTTGTAAACAGTGAAAATGTGACTCCTTCTTATGCTCACTCTTTGTTAAAAACTCGGGCCAATAGTTGTGAACACATTTCTTTTAGCACCCAACATAATTCTAAATTGGAGGAATTGGGGCAGTTTGTGTCTGAAAACCTATCGTCCGTATCAATGGAAGTGGCACGAAGTGGTAAAGTTGTGGGAATTTTTTTCCAAGACAAACAGATGAGAGAGGTATTTGCAAATCTGCGCCGACAAATTATTAGAAATAGACCGGCGGCGCGACGCCGGAGAATAGCCACTTGCTTTCTTTATTCACGTCATCATCATAGTTTATCGACAGAATGCGCAGTAAGTATATATTTCACGGGATCGACAAAAAGCGCTGCGCGATCAACAGAATGCGCAACAGTCAATGGATTGTCGCGCGTTTCCTCGATCAACCAAATGCGCTGCGCGGTCGATGGATCGCGCAAATCGACAGATCGCGCCCAACACATGTATTTTAAGGCCGTCATTATTCGTAAAAAAAATTTCTTATTCGGACTCGAGTCCGAATATGAAAAAATGTTATCCGGACTCGGGTCTGGAAAAAAGGAAATGTCTTCGTTCTATAGATCTAACGTTCAGTGCTTCCAATTTTCCGCCATTTTTTAGTTCCCCCCACACCTTTTCTGCCGATCCGATGCCCGCTAACAAGCCATCTTTAATTGCTTCCGATGACCTCTTGACAAATAAACATTTATTAGAAGCGCTATAACTTTTCAGGCCGGCCTCAAATTCATCATAAAAGATAAAAACTCTGCTCCTGCACAAAACGCCTTTTTGCCCGAACTAATCCTGGTCACTACCCAGCCTGAGGCGAGTCACGAGTGAGGCAGGACAGGAAGCCGGAGTCATGAGTCACAGGAAGTCGGAAGTGATGTCATGCTGGACAAGAATCAAAGTCCGAATAACATTTTTTCATATTCGGACTCGAGTCGGAATAGTCACTTCGAAAATTCTGTACTTTAAACCTCCTGTTTTCTAATGTTAATATGGCCTAAGATAAGTACGGCTAGACTTGCTGTCTAGCCGTACTTAAGTACGGCTAGACTTCTTGGCTAGCCGTACTATATTGATGGCTGAATTGTAAATGAAATTTTTAGTTTGCAATGCCTAAAGTATTTGTATTTCCAGACAAAACCAAAAGGCGCCTAACTGACTTGCATGTATTTGAACTTGAATAATTACTAGATTCTAGATTTAGATATCTAGATTTAGAAAATCTAGATCAAGATCTAGATCTAATGAGACCTGTGTACTTAAGTTAAGGTAGCGTCAATTGCCACCGAGTGACGCGGTGGCAATTGACAAAAATTGACTTTTTGTCAATTGCCACAGAGTGAAGCGTTTTCAAGTCTGAAAACAACACTATCTTTAGCTTTATACATAGGTAGCGTCAATTGCCACAGAGTGACGCGGTGGCAATTGACAAAAATTGACTTTTTGTCAATTGCCACCGTGTGAAGCGGTGTCAAGTCTGAAAACAACACTATCTTTAGCATTGTACATAATGTGTGTCTAATGGGTCAATTTGTTCTCAATAATTTCATTGGACGAGCATCTAGTCTAGAGCTACGATACCAACTTGGCGTGTTTTCAATGAGACGTAGGCCTAGATCTAGGCTAGCCTTAGCCTACACTTTGATGTAGAACCAAGGAGTTTAGAACTACTTTTAATCTCCTTGTGTAGAACCAACACAGGCAATTCTACTAAGTAGAAGGTCACAAACGCACACAAACTCTTGAAGCAGAAATTTACGTTATATCGGGGAACATAAATCGAGGGACGGGGATCAGGAAAAGAAACACACACACACACATTGTACATAATGTGTGTCTAATGGGTCAATTTGTTCTCAACTAATTTCATATGGACGAGCATCTAGTTAGAGAGCTACGGTACGAACTTGGCGTGTTTTCAACAATGAAGACGTAGGCCTAGAAATCTAGATCTAGGCTAGCCTTAGCCTACACTTGACCCTTGGTGTAGAACCAACACAGGCAATTCTGGAAGTAGGTCACAAAAAGTTAACATTAACAGGTTTGAGTCAATAGGGCCAAATCTCGTCTACCTAAGTACAACTAGACTGGCTCCCCGTAAAAATGGCCACTGCGTAGATCTACAATAAATGTTGCGTTATCAGACAATTACTGACAAATTTCTGGCTGGTAACGAAAGCGAAAGTAAAGGCTTTAGGCCTACTGGACGCTCTGTTACGAAATTTAGTGGGTATCAGTATCAGTATCATGCTGGACTATAGTACTATACTACTAGAGATCTAGTACTAGATTCTAGATCTAGAATCTACGGTGCTTTTTCGGTAGTTCCCACCCCTCTTATTTGAGCCTGACCTACATCTAGATTCTTGATCTAGATCTACTCTAGTCTAGATCTATACGTTTGATTCGCGGTGAGCTAAGATATCAAACCTAACAACAACAGCAAAACATTAAATTGTGGTAAAATTCAGGGGGGCATGAAAACCCCCCTTCCTATTATTGTTAGGTCAAGGGGGCAAGCCCCCCTGAAACCCCTCTACTCTTGGGGCCAAAACTCGTGATATAACAATTGCGGGGTGGGAACTACCCAAGGAGATTAAAAGTAATGGAGGATGCTCTGTGGGCGGCACTGCACGCCTGATAGGAGCCCTCTCTCGCGGCGGAACCGTG